CGCGGACAGTCAATGTTGGAACAGCGATAAATCTTTGCATTTGCGTATCCCAACTTGATCGTGATGTTTCTTTCCAGCTCGTTCTTGAACTTGACAGTATGCACTCCAGAGATAGCCTTTACCAGAGTTGATTTTCCATGAGCTACATGACCGATTGTGCCAATGTTTATGGTTGCTTGTCGAGAGATAACCTTAAAATTTCAGTTTTCGAAAGGGAAATTGAGGGAGACGAAGAAACACACCTCTTCCGTTAATGGAGTAAGATTTTCAGCACCGATCTTATCAAGATCTTGTTTGGCTAACCAAGTTTGATCTTCAGTTTCTGAAAAAAGCACTTCCTCAAAAAAATTACAGCAGGATTTTGCGATTAACCTGTAACTGCAGTGGCCATCCTGATTGCGTCAGAAACGAACCGACTGGACTAAACCCTAGAAATCCTCAAGATAATAACGCAAAGAAGCCGAAAAGATGCAGAGTTAGAAAGAGTTTCTTCTTCCTTTTCAGAACGTCGCAAAAAACCAAAGAATGTCAAAAAGAGACAGATTTAGAACGAAGAGAACGTGTTGAGATGGAAAATTAATGCAAGTATTATAGGACGGATACAGATGATGCAAAGCGTACTGTAATCATTTGGAGCATGAAATTTGCAGCTTCTGTATTTGGCAGCGATTCAATAACCATTTTTCACTAATGCGTTCTTGCATGTAAGGTAGTTTTCAATTTCCAGATAACACTAAACTAAATACCTCAGTGGTTTTCACACATTGGCCTAAAAAAGCCAAAACCCTGGATAGACGTCAGCATCGACCAGTAACTCCTCTTCGAAAATCACTTTGTTCATTCATACTCGGTGAGTTTTTTCTTTTCATTCAGTTGTTTGTTGTGACGATTTTCGACGCGTTTAGTTCACATTTTTCATATTTTTCATTTTGTCGTTATTTTTTTCATTTGGAACCATATGATCACACACGACAAGCACAGCTATTTTCAGCTGAAGTGCACGCTTTGAAGAGTACATGTGTAGATCCAAAATGATACTTTTTGGGACTATCAGTCCACATTCAGGGTATTATTGTATGTGATCATCCACCTCCGCGTACAAAACAGCTGTTTAAATATTAAAACCTGGAAACTTACTTAACTCACCATAGAAAAATCCGTCTTGTTTTCTATATTTTTTGTGAAAGTTACTTTTGAATTTTTTTAATTCTTTGACATCCTGCTCATTCGACACGTGCCGTACTTGATCCCTAGTTCATTTGATCCACTTCGCTATCGGTCAAAACAGTGAACTGACCAGTAGCGAAGTGGATGCCCGCTAGTTCCACTTCGCTATTGGTCAGTCTACTGACTTGACCAATGGCGAGGTGGATCAAGTGAATCAAGAACGCGCGTGCCTTTCTCATCACTAACTTTGTAATATTCATCATTGCCATTAGTATTTGGGTACTATTCCACATTAGCTGACCCAAAAAAATAAAAATTGTGAATTTTACTGAAACTTCGCCTAGGGGGTTATTTGGTACGCTGAAGTTGAAT